TAGTAATAACTGACACTAACATTCGGCACTTCACTAGCAATGGTGTAGCGTGTTATATTTCAAAATTTACAAAATGACCTACAAATTTGGTATGTCTCCCAATCTGAACCCCTCAACCCCCCGACCCCAATCCCACAACGTTAGCTTACTTTATAAGGCGAGCAATCGGTGGTACGTTTCAGCACGTTCATGAAGGAAAATGCTTAAAGAGATTGGAAATCTCGCGATAATTTGAACCATCGAGAATTAAAAATATTTACAACATTTGAAAACAGAAGACTTATTATGTATATCATGGTAATACCGGGATGACATCAACGGGTTAATATATGAATTGTCTGGAGATGAGAACTCTGTGATATATACACCGACATAATAGATTTATCTTATCCTTTACTATTGTTGCCTAGTGGGATCAGCTGTCGCCGTGTCGTAACTCCAAGTTCGCGAACACATTCTGTATGGTCTCAACGGTCACTCCAATGCTTTGTTGCTGTGACGTCATATTAGATCGTATCTACCCCATTGTTCTTTGGTTAGATGTCGACTCGTATTTTATTTTACAATGATACAAAGTGCAATAAGTATCATATCCCGTTGCTTTTATAAAATGTCAAAAACAGGTAACATATATCAGCGCAGGTCAATATTCACTGTACCTTGATCACAGTGCTTATCGTGTTTATCCTCATTGGTGAAAAAGGACGATAAAACGGAAATACCACACATTCATGCCTATAAATCAGACACACATTGTATTATCAGGGGCTGATTCTGTGTTACTACTTTATTCATGGCTATTATCAAATGCTGAAAACGTTTTAATTCATTCGTATTGTGGCACGGTTCAGGATAAACACATGTACTTTGACGTTGCTCTAAATATATCCGATATATGAAAATTACAAAATTTGTTTGATAATCGGGCTGTTCCACCTCCCCATCTAGATTTGAGTTTTCTTTCGATCATTTTGAATTTTCCGCTGTCGTATGCTAGACTTAGCATCACTGAAGAGTCATGGAAGGACTAAACAGCAGTATTCATTGTTTGGCTCTACTGTGTCTCACTCTTAATCATTAAATGGTGCTATTCACTTCTGTGTCTATTGTAAAAATCTTCGATAGAAAAAATCAAATAAGATTTACATTATTAACTCCTGAAATAGAACCGTTTAGGGCACATCGTGAGTGCTGCGGCTATCGTTGAATAATTCATGTCTGTCATAGAGTATACACTGTAGTGCTATCAACTTGTTAGTCACATGTATAAAATTAGAAGGTATTTTTATTTTGTTGCAGTGATTTATAATACAATTATTTCCAAGCTACGTTAAGAATTCGTCTATCTATTAATCAGAAAACGGAGATATTTGTATATTTACACATTGAGATAACTTGATTAGGACGTATAATGTACACAAATAATCTTAGATGCATATGCTGTATCTATTACATTAACGTCATGTTTATTCAGTTACAAATTGATAAAAATCCTAAACGTTTCGGACCATGTCATTGGTATTCTATACGTACATCAAACAAGCCGACAGCGAGACCCCACACTTTGTACCCTTCACTCCCAGGTAAGAGAGATTCCTATCAATTTGTATTTGAACCTTCGTTCAATTTATGACATGCTCCCACGTCCAGGTTAACACCCGTTTCCTGGTACAGTTGCCAAGGGTCTAGTTTCAGCTCCCATGTAGTTTGATTTCTTAGATTTCTCATATGAATATTTTTATGGAATGATTCATCGTTAAACAGAACAAATTTCTTTCTCATGCATGTCTCGAACTTGAGTGGTTGTGTAAGAATACTTTCACACGAATAATGTCAGCTCACTGTCAAGAACAGAGACATTAGTGTGTCTCCGACTCGATAGATATTGTGGTATTGCTTACTTAGTGCATGCCAAATTTTAGTACTATACCAAGTAAAATGAAAACAATATCTAACGGATTCATAGACTGAGACAAAAAAGCAAAATTTAACATAATACACAATAGCATGATAACAAACAATATGTAACACTAATACAGTACTATTAAAAGGTCAAATTACGTTTAAAAGTTTAAACGGTAAAAAGGACAAACACAAGAACATAACATCTTCAGTTTTCAGACGGTAATCTTTTGGCATAACACAAGAGCATCGTAAGAATTGGAATTGTTTAACTTTAATCACTGAAGAAAACAGTATTTGAAACATTGTTCAATTCTTCAACTCAACAAAAAATAATCAAGGATGTTGTTTTGGTTCATTCTATAATTTGGGCATCAAACACGGTATGACGCCCACGCCCACACGACACTTCTGTGTCTAGACTGCTGGGTTTGCTCCCAAATGCCTACGTTAACTATACCTTGTTTGTGTGAGATATGGCCCCACATCGGACATTTATGTGTGGAGTTTTAATAGCTCTCGATATCCTCTAGATACTTGATGTATAATCGCTACTTAAACAACTCTTCTGAAATATCTGGTACTGTATTTGAGCTGAGACGGAATGTTGGGGTGGTTGACCTTCCCGTACTTAAATAGATACGAGTTGTTAGCATCAGACAAATCTGTGGGCGACTACTAGACTTGTTCGTCCTACAGACGGATTGTTGGCCCTATAGACTATAGAATCGCTTACTCTACAAATAGAATTGCTTGTCCTATAGACAGAATTGCAATGCCAAATAAACAACGTCAACAACAGACAAAAAGCACCTTCAACAGCAGACACCGTCTGTATACAAGACAGTATGCATCGCCCCTACAGCAGGCAAGGACACAATATATCCTTCTGTCGAAATGACTAGAAGGAAGTCTACATAAGTTCCCAGTTCAAATGGTGCAGTTGCATTTCTTCAAGTGTCTAAGGCACACATTATCTACAGAGTATAACACAACACGTGTCCATTATAAATGTATAAAGTGGATTCTTATGAAGACATACTCTATCATCAGCCACGCCTATCTCGTTGTCGTGTTATACTTGTGCACTATAGATTATGTCGGTTGACACGTACTAATTAGTACAGTGCAAGGAGTGTACAATGGCCTCATACTTTATATCGCTGTGCACAGTCTAGGTGTATAGCACAGATCTCTCACATACTAACATGTTCTGCAGAGAAAAGAAAGTATCACCGTTGTTCAATAATCTGTAGTTCTGTAATTTCGTATATTCACCTGCTATTGTCCAACATACGGCAAAACACAATTACATGATGCCGTCCCCATAACATAATGTTGATTTGATATATTAAATATTTCAAGCATTCAGCAATTACTTAGTTTACCAAATGTGCAGGAATATAATGATTGCTTAATATGCCTGGTGATCAGATAGCACAGAGATAACTCACAAACAAGTTTTTTTCATTTTCACTTAAGCGACTGTTGTTCGACTCCACGAACGGCAGTGAAAAGATATGTGGTCATCTGCCCGACCATATTTGTTTTCCATGAGCTCTTTATTTTGTACAACAGTAGGATCCATCGTGTGTTTTATACTTTGTGGGTTTTTTCTGACTCGTCGTCGGATTTAATGGTATTTAGGAACATGTTCATTGTTATTTTAAGGTTGAACAACAGTCATTCAAGTTATCAGCATCTTTCATCAATAGAAATAGATACAGTATAGGTCAGTAAAGAAAACCACATAGTTCAGCTATTTCTGCTTTCTAGGACTCATCGGTGATACTAAGGGCTTAAGTAGCTGAAGTGACAGAAGAAATTCACAATTCCAAAATAAGTGATATACCGACATGCCACAGAATCTGAATTCAAACTATATAAAGTATAAAGAAAGAAAAAGACTTATGCGGAGACTACTGAAAAGATCACAGAAAATAAGACAACGTGGTCTGGAAGAAAAAGCGTATTTTGCTTCTCTAACGTCACTCGTATTGTTAATCTTGGTCAATCCAAGTATGAAGTGCCACGTTTCCACATTAGTACAAGGTTAAAGAAAACGGAACCACTAGAAGCACTATCGTGTGTCAAATTATACCAATTTCATTTCGCACAAGGAAATGAAATAATTTCCAACGAGATGTTTATGACAATTGTAAAATTAACTTCATAAACCTGAAAATCCCGAAACTAAATGATATGAGTTTGATTATCAGTTGCCGGCATCATACACGAAAATCGTTATACTGGACAGTCCTTGAACACGATTGGTTTGGGAATGCACGTTGTTTGCTATCGAGTAATGGGAAAATAAAATCATTATAATTATCGTACAACTTGGTGTAAAGCTGTTCTTGTTGATATCGTTGTAGAAAAAGATCGATGCAAGTGGTTGATTTCAATTTAATCAAAATTTTAAACTTGTTTGTCTACAAATGATTCATTTTCATGGTTCATACATACTAGGTTTGTTTTTCAATGTAAATTTCTGTATACAAATTTCAAAAGTTCATATCAACAGAGCGGAACGTATATGTTACACACATACATAGTGTTGAAACAGCTTATAAGGTTATGAGAATAGTGAGTGGAGAGGACGAGGACACACGTGAGTAAACATGTTGGGTAAGGTATGATGAAATAGTGTAAGATTTCAAAATGTTGATGTACGTAATATTTGTTTTAGTTTTCATCCAGCTAGAATAATAATACTAGACAAGAAGAATAAGAAATGATATGTTTCTTAACAGAAAGATAACCATACACTTTAGTAAGACGCCTACAGCAAACACAAGTGCAGCCTGCCCGAATCTGATGCCCCAGCACCTGTTTTGAGGAAGGTTTCAGGACAAAGGTTTGAAAAGTAACAGATTCTCTGCCAGTAATGTAGTAAATAAACAAGATGCATATATTCTGCACATGTACACATTATTTCTGATGAAACTCTTGCCTCATTGCTCTCGACTATATGTGTAATGCATTCACCACATACATCGCCATATCTCGCCTGCCTGATGACGTAATAGGTATGCTTACTATTTTGTCATTTTTATGCACAGAAACAAGTGACTAGATCTCTAAGTGGTACAGACGAACATACAGAGAATGCCAATGGGACACAACAAGAGGACATCGCATTAAGGCCGTACATTGGTGTGTCGGTAATGGTAACACAGATACCTTCAAAAGCTATGCAGGCCTGACAAACCTATCGTCAACTAATACCTTTGTAGATTTAACTTTTGCAAAGATATAAATACCATTGAGACTGTGGGCATAGCTGGTTTTGTGTTGGACCAGCGAATCAACAGGCGTATCTCTCAGTGGACGTCATATCATCACAGCCAGTCCTACCGCCTATCTTGTCTGACATTGTATTTGCTAACCGGGGTTCATGAGTTTTAAATTTCATTGAACTTTGCCATTGACATGGGTCAACTAACGCGCGCTTTCATAGTCTTAAGGAGTAGATGGTGCACGCGCCTGAATTTACAAAAATGTCTGTGACGAGACGATTCTGATAGTGTGTGAGCAGACGACAATCAGACAGGAGCTCCCGGGAGAGCAACAGCTCGTCACAAATATCTATACCAGCTGATTGTTTTTGGTGATATTGAATATTAATTTCTTGTGATAAATATTACCAAGACCATCATGGGGTATTCAGTGTTATTAGCAGTATGTATGTACGGGATGTTGTTCGGTGTGTCTCGAGGAGTCTTCAGGGATGGAGACATACGACTCCTGGGGGGTCGGAAGGCGTCCGAGGGGACAGTTCTCATCTACCATAGATATCGATGGGGAGCTATTTGTGACTACAGCTGGGATCTTAGGGACGCTAATGTCGCATGTCGCCAGTTAGGATTTGTCAGTGCAATCGCAGCCACCGCCAGAAGTCGATTTGGACAAGGAAGACGTAAGTTTTAACTGAAGTTTCTATTGAACTGTAATTTAGATTTATATATATATTTCCTTTTCCGTTAATATTTAATACAATATTTTCCTTAATGATTTCAACAAAAGTGTAACATCGCATAGTAATTCTTGTTTTTCCTAGGACTTCTACATAAATTACATATCGTATTCATAAGATTTATTGTGAGTTTAAGAATTGGCTCATGTAGACATGATAAGCCTAAAACTACGGTATATGAAATATTGTATAGCTGTTTTAATTATTTCTCCTGCACGTCCTTTGTAAAAGCCACGGAATCGAATCCTCTGCTCTAAAAATAACCTTTACATAACCAAGAAAAAATAAGAACACAAGTGTCACTTCAGAAATTTTGCTTACTAAGTACATTAAAATGTAAACTTGGAGTAAACAGGAGATTCACAGTGGCAGCACATTTCATCAGGAGGTGTAAATACACCGTGAAACGTGCTCCGACTGTAGAATCCCTACTACAAATACTGCACTCCTCGTTTCCGTGGGCGGGTATTGTCGAAAGAGAATTTAACATTTAAAACCCATACTTTACAACTAACTTCATAGTTGAAATTCCCTCGTAAAGAGAATTATAATTTATTCGGGTTTTTACGGGGGTATATATTATTTCAGCAGCTGTTCTAACAAGTATCTAGAGCAAAACTCGAGACTCCTGAACATAAATGAATACGCTGGTTGTATTTTTATCTGAGGTATATCAAGCAAAATATTTAAAATCATATTCATGTCTGGGAAGAAAAAGAATGGCCCTATATGCACAATGAACATGTCTACTTTTTAGACGATGTCCATGTAGACATGCATTGAGCATTATCTCCTCTCACATATCGTCTTCATCATCGTCACCGAAACTACTTTATGTGATAAACTTACGTTGGTAACATTAAGGAAACAAAGAACATCATTTCTGATAATCTGTTATTTCCTAACTGCACGTTACCACTGTACAAATTCATATTTAGGATATCTTAAAATCGACCGACTTCAAGTTTAAACAATGCATACTGTGCCTTTTAATTCTTGTATACGCGATAAAACTTTAGGCGAACAAAAAAACACATATAAAATGATAACGGTCTCGCCATGGAATGAAACCTAAAACGGAAACAGATGATAGGAAATTATACTTTTATGTTTAATACATGCATAATGTATAAAATGTATATTTCTTATTTTAATTTATCTAGATCGCAGTCAGCTGTGTAACTTTCTTTTGTGTGAGTGTAATATCCTAACGTGCAGGGATAGTTAACACCCAAGAGTCAGACCACAAGTCAATGTAAGATAAAAAGCAGGTTACAAAGTCACAAACGTAGACGGTTATAACAGCGTCAGTAAGCCAGAACCAGGCAGCTGTCAAAACTTCATAAATCATTCATTTTTTAGCATCTGTCAAACTTGCAAGGCATTTGAACGGCAAACGATGGAACATGCAGTCACTCCCATACATTTCTCTTCTGCATTTGCTATGGAACATTCGACTATAGCTTATTACAATACTGATAGAAGGAACAATGACACATTTTAAAAACTTCTTCTTGTATCGCTTTCTGTTTAAACGTTGAAATTGAAGATACAAGATGCTGTCATTTTTTAACAACGATAAATCGATCGCTTTTCAAGTTTATAAAAAGATAATTTCCAGTCTAATATTATATATAGAGAACGTTCTAGATACATTTCATGTAGTCTTGAAGTCTTCTGGTAAGTTGTGATACAGTTATTACTTATTATGGTATGCTTCCTTTATGTTTGATGTCTCTTCGGAGTGTCTGTTACACGAGAATGTGGTTAGCAGATGTTCGTATGCAAAGTGACGAGATAAATTGTTTTGACTGGTCCTGTTCAAGTTTGAAGAGTTACTTCATGATTTTATTTGTCGTGCAAAAATGTCCGCGTCGTTTATTTTTTTATTATTTTTATTTTCTTCCTTTTGTATATACATACATATTTTTTATGAGGATTTATGGGAGGTGTTTATTTGAAACATGGCAGATAAGGTGCAAGATATTTAAAATGTTTTGCCGTAGAAAAACTTTATCAGTAAAGAGGCTTTTATGAATTTATTAGATTCACATGTTATTTATAACGTACTTTTGTCAGAAGGATTTCCTGTTTGTGGTCTAGAATAGCTGTCACTACAGTACACTATATTACTGGTCACTATAACAATGTTATAGAAACTGATCACAATATTAGTCTGCAATATTTCTCTAGTAAAATATAAATATCATTATCAAACAAACCGCTATTCAAAAATGATTAAATTTGGCAGTAAATGCATCTTCTTCGTCTGATATTTTAGTTTTATTACGACCAATGTGGATTTTCCTCACTCGACTCGTTGGTTAAATAATTTAGGCCCTTAGTATCTATAATGAATCCTAGAAGGATGTATGATGGAGATTAATTCTTTTAACTCTACTGTAAATAACTCTAAATTTGCATAGGAAGGTGCTATACAAGTGCATTTTTTGCACAATCTTTTATACAGCAAAATAACAATTTGATGAGGAGCATCACCGTCAATCATTGATAATCAGTAATTCAGCGACACTGCTTTTACTCGCACTGTTTCATCGCTAAACCTGTGTAAATGTAAAATTATAGGGGACCACGTATTTAATGTAGCGAAGAGATGAGATGTACAATGGGTCTAGCCTACACCTTATACTAGCCTATACAATTAATTTATCAACGAGAGTATCAGTTACAAACGAAGACTTGCCAATACCGAGGTCGGTAAAATTTACCATATACTTAAGATATAGCGTAAACTAATACATTAATGGTTGAAGAGGCTCTCATATTTTAACATTTCAACAAATGATAGTCTTTTGGCTTTATTTACATAATTCATATTCTAGACAAAGGCAATTTACAATATACGCTAAATTAAATTATCTCTGTTTTTATGCGTTTTAAAAATACATATATCGCATTGTTGTATTAGAAACTAAGCAATTCCTTTGTCTTTATACACCAAATATCATTTGTACTAGATATCCTAATTATCATTACATACAGTTGATTAAAAAAGATAAATACAGTTACGTGACACTTAAACCCAAAGAATCAATTAAATATTTAGTTGATATATTAGTTTCAACATAAAACGTCAGTTTTTTAAAAGTCATTAATTTTCTAGTGAAAGATAGTGTCACTTTGGGACTTGTGTCCATGAACAGGAAAACGAAGATCAACAAAGGAAAAAAAGACAAACACAATATATATTCCAAAGTATGAACTAGAATGACTTAATATGTATATTTCATTAAGTCATAACTCAACAAAACGTGAAATATACCTGAATCTATGTTCATCAAGGATGTTACAGATTTGTAGTGACCTAGCATACATAACCAGATTTTCTCAAGCATTTCCAGATACAAAATCAGACAATAGAAGAATTCCTTTATATTATTGTAAGTGCAAACAAAGAAACCACATTTATAACAATACATCAGCATCCGAACACACCGCTTGTCTTCAAAGAAAAAAGATGTAGCTAACTGTTTAATAATGCCGATGTTATTTTTGTAACACCATTTCTATATTACTGTGAAGCCTTTCATCTTTTTTCGACATGGTTAGGGGAAATATAACTAGCATTGACTTTTAAACATATATCAAGACATGTATATATATACAAGACTTATACCATGATTACAACAAGGTCAAATTGTGTAATACAAGTCTAGCTTATCTCATATATATTTTATCCCTTCCGACTTAAACTAAATGTGGAGATTTGAACGCCAGACCTTTTTAAAGTGGATGTCTGAGAAAGGTAGCTAACTTTTCTGTTTGGTACAACATTAACAGCTTTCTACTAACCTGTATGATAAAGTGATTTTCGAATTGTTCCCTAGCGTTAAGATTCTGTTTCTAGTTATAGTTTCTAGTAATATCCAAGCCTCCAATCCTATAGGTTTGTCATGCCACAATCAATTAAATAATCGAGGCGTTGGTCCTAATATCACGATTCTTCATTCAAAATACCCGCAGTTGACAAACAGAATGACACCACAGGGTTTTGAGAGATGGACGTTTAACGAAATTTAGGGAAGTTTTATGATCGCAACTGTGATATCATTGGGAAATGATCTCCTTAGATTTGTTCTCGCAATGTTGGTTGGCCTGGTGATTTCGTTTTCACAAAATGATGTTATTTACTTGCATATGTCGTTGATAAAGCTGAAGACACAGACCCTTCCGGAACACTTGATTTTATCCTCTTAGTACTTTTTCGATGATCTCTGTGTAAAACGTTGTTTTGTTCAATGTTTTACCTGTTTTGTATATTCTGCTGACATGTTGGTATTAATGCTATTCTTACATGGTCATTGGTGTTATTACACATAATGCTGAAGATAAAAGAAACAGTATTTTAGAAATATTTATATAAAACCAGATCCCGGAAAAGAATAACGCCAAAATATAACTATGTCAGACATTTTTAACTCGGAAATCTAGTACTGTTAGACGTCATACTCACTAGACTTGTGACAAAATGTGAATGGCTTACGTGGAGAATGTACATATAAACAATATGAGACTGTGTGTCGGTTACATATTTGAACAATGCTGCCCATTCATCATCTGTGTGAGAAAACAGCACGCAGGGGTTCCTTTGTTCTAAACCCTGGGCCAGTAGGTCATTTGTATGGTAGATAGCCATCCTTTTCACAATAGCTTTAACATATCCTTTTTGCACAAGCATTGTGAACTTAAACCAGCATATTTAGTGAAGTTTTCAAAAATGTAGTTTATATATGTATCGTTCAATGCTTCAAGGCTTAATACTACCTTACATCAGCATCCTGAAATTACTTAAGGATACAATTCCATTAACCTTCCAAGTTTGTAATACTGAGAGCGAAAAGTAATTTCAATGATGAAAGCGTTCTGAAAGTCAGTAGGCCTACCGGATCTTATAGTCTTAAACACGTTCTTTCAAGTGACCA